GTTATATCGGAACCCTTGAATGGATTGGTTGTATTTGGACCCTAGGTGCTTATGTTGGATAAGGTTGGGGGAGGTTATGGGCAAGGCCCTTATTTTATTGTCTCTTTTGAGGTCCTTGGTTGGCGCTACGTGGTATATAACCGTTGGTAGGGGTAAGGTCAGCAAAGTAGCAAAAGATGGGGCATACCGAATAATCCGAGTCCAATTCTTGTGGTTGGGAGGATGAAATCTCTTTGGGAGATTTCTAGAATACTAACCACTAACATTGTAGCCTTTGTTATCTATTTGAATGTCATGTTCCTTTCCTCTATTATTGAAATTGCTATTATTGACTCGAATATCATGCTTCACAACTTGCTTGTTATAAATACGTTGATGTATTGAATTGGGAAAAAGAGATAGGATGTGTGTGCGTTTACTGGGCATTCAAAGCTCACGGCATTTCATGCCAAGTATTGAGGGCTATTAGGCCCGTCGAAGCAAAGCTGAAGTATATGAAGACTTATGGCTATCCTGTGAGAGTTAGGAATTAGTTTTGTAAGCATGATTATGAGATTGTAAGTGATTAATTGCTTGCTGTATTTGAAGACATGATTTTGTAATTTTTATTTATAACATTTGTAACCTATTTTTATACTCTGTCAACTCATGTAGGCCTTGTGTTAATACCTTGTCAAGATCTGTCAAAAAGGTAGCTTTGCTATCTAAAGTAGTTAGACTTAGATGGGAGGCTATTTTGACTCCTCCGACCTTTCTGGAATCTTGCTTGGTTATTAGCCAAGGAGTCATTAGTGGCGTTTCCTACTCTTGTAACCTTAGATAAACCCTATATTTAATTATTAATATATTATCTAATGTTCTAGATTTATAGGGCATCACAAGAAAGGTCATGACTCTTGGGTTTACACCCTTTTATATGAAGAGATACTATGAAGGATGTACCATTTCATTCAAATGGAGTCCAGTTTCATTCATTTCTAAATTTTTCGACAATATTATGTTGAATAATTAATATAACAATGTAAACAAAACTCCTTTATATAGGAGGAGAGAAACCTAAGTATGGTAATTCTAAGTATGGTAATTCTAAGTATAATAATAAATATAATATGGTATGTATGATAAGAATAATATAGTTACTATATCTAACAGGATCTAATCGCAGACAGAGCCAGAGCCAAAGCCAGAGCCAGATTGAAATGGATGGCGGTATTACAGGGAAGATAGAGAGAATGTGTAACCATCATTTGTGAAAACAACCTCCAGCTTGGAAGATGATGATGATGATGATTGCTTTGTATGATGCTGTCACGACCCAAACCCGGCCCTATGGGTTTGCAGACAGAGCCAGAGCCAAAGCCAGAGCCAGATTGAAATGGATGGCGGTATTACAGGGAAGATAGAGAGAATGTGTAACCATCATTTGTGAAAACAACCTCCAGCTTGGAAGATGATGATGATGATGATTGCTTTGTATGATGCAAGTGTGAATTGATGAAGCCGCGATCATGGATGATGGAGCACCATTGCTTGTTGACAAACATGAATTTCTCTACTAGCTCTTTGCCCGACACTCTTTGCAGTATTTCGAACACTATTTCTCTCAGAGTGCCAAGGGATTGTTGTTGTTGTTGTTGTTGTCGCTCCTCTTGCTCGTGCTCTTTGTAGGACAATCTTCACTATAGTAAGAATAAACAGTGTTTAACATTGTGTCCTTTAGAGAGATTCGTCCTGTCTATGGTGCTTTCAGATTGTGGACGTTTATCTCCTAGGGTAAAATGATCAACAATAAACAGTAGCAGCACTACAAATTGTTTACACAACGAACATACTTTGTGTTTATACACTTTCTCACAGCAAAATAAATGTAGCAAAATACAGAGAGCAATGACAGCAACAAGAATGAAAATTTTATAGTACAAAATTCAAATGAGGGTCTATCTATTTATAGGAGAATTTGTGGCTATTCGGTTTGAATTAAATATATGCAAACCTATTTGAACAGGTATAATACCTATTCGGTTTAAATGAACAGGTAAGGAACCTGTTGGGTTTAAATTTCAAATAGATATGAATCTGTTTGGTTTAAATTCAAACAGATATACATCTATTCCGGTGGGGAACAAACTGGACAGGTATGACAGCCAATTTTTGAATTTAATTTCCAAAATTCAAATTCCAAAAAAAATTAGAATTTAATTTTAGAAAAATAAAATTCAAATGTTTTTTGCCAAAAAAGATAAGTATTGGGCCGAACAAGTCCAACCCAACCTCACACCCTGCACTTGCACCGACGCCTAAGCCCAACTCTCTACCTGGACGGTGTGTGTTCATTTTTGGGTCTAATGTGTCTAACTCACTTTGCCCATAACCTCTCCCTTTTACAAACTTGGGGTGCTCCTTGGGACCCTCCCGAAGTTACAAACTCAAGCCTTATAAACCCACAAAAGTTTGCTCACCAAACCAATGTGGGACAAACCTTTAGTTCAAACCTTTAAAGAAGCTTCACCAATATACCATTTCCATGGAGCTCTCTTTGGCTTTAATTTCCCATTCACTCGATAATGGTTTTGAATAACCAAATATACTACGTGAATCACAACGCGACATAGAACGTTTTACCACTTAGATCCGCCAACTTTGACGCACGAGTCCCATTTAAAAAATAGACCAAAGGTGAGAAAAAATCTATTTTTTCAAAATCATTGCACTCTTTTCTCGCCCTCTTTGCCATGTTTTCTGGATTCAAGGTTGGTTAGGGGTTGTTTGGGATGTCCTAAATAAGTGTATTTTTTGACTTTTTGGACTAAAAAGTTGAGGAAAAAAATATGGTTGTTCAAGTTAACTTTTTGACTTTTTATCAAAAATGTATATTAAAAAATTGTATAAATTAGTGTATAGGGGAAGATTTGTTTTTTGGGTTGCACGACTGTCTTTCATACACAGGTTGAATAGATGGTAAGAAGTAATTGTCTACTTTTCAGGCATTTCACTAGATGGTGCTTTTCAGCCGGTGGGGCCATCACGGGTCCCGTTTTGATAATCTAAACCGTTCAATATGTAGCACTTGTCAGTACTATATGCTTGTAAAAAATTCCGTTGATTGGATATCGATAGCTATCTGATCAGATTTGTTTTTTTTTCAACCGTTAACTATAACACCATCTTTTTTTTTATACAAAACTAATTTGATCATGTAGTTATCGATATTCGATCAATGTAATTTCTGCTAGACATATAGTACTCGATGAGTTCTACACATTAAACGGTTCAAATTATCAAAACGGGACCCGTGATGGGCCCCCACGGGCCGAACAACAGTGTGTTAAAATTGCACCCCAACTGTGCAATTTTCCTTTTGAATCGCAGCACAGATCTGACTTATTGTGATTGATGAGTTGTATTTTTGTGTGTAAAATTAATTTTTTAATATTTTTTTTTTGTAAATAGTGATAACTTTTTAACTTTTTGAGTAATTTTTTGACTTTTTATCTTTTTTGAGAGATGTCAAACTTGGCTGGGTTAGTACCCTTTTGGCTAGCCGGTGGAGTTTTTGAGTGTGCATTTTATGTATTATATAATAACAAGAGATCAAGGGTATCACTGTCATACTAATTAACTTTTTACTCCAGGATCAAGATTGATTCACGGGTGTATGACCAAACCCAACCCAAATAACTGTATTATCTTGACTCCTGACTTTGGATTGAGATTTAAAAGGAATTTTGTTAATCCAACTAATCTTTTAGTTTTCCTAATAAAAAAATAATAATTCTAGCTTTGATTCTATAGATTTGATTAAAAGGATGTGATAATCTTAACAAACAACTAGAATTTACCGGGTATGATTGATTAGGAATTGTGATTTTCATGTTGGGTATGGGTTGAGGGAACAACTACCATACCACACTCTAAAACATAAAAATAAAAATTTCAATACAACAGTTAAACAAAATAAATTGTTTCATATGTATAAAATAATATTTAAAATTTAAAATTAAATCTTTTTTTTTTAATTTTTATGTTGTAGTGGTAAGGGGGACGTCGAGGTGGAGGTCGAGATGGAGGTCACGGTGGGGACAGTGGGGCTATGATGTTGTAATGGTAGTGGTGAAGGGATAGTTGTGGTCATGGTGGAAGGGTGGTGTAATGGAGGTAGACGGAGGTGGTGGTAGTGTTTAGGATTGCTTCTAAGGCAAGGCGAGCAAGGTGGCTATCTCGAGTCCCCAAATTCTGTCTAAAATTTAAGCCTCTTGAAAAATTTAGTTCTTATGTTAAGTTTGGTTTATTGAAATGAATTAGAATGAAATATTCATTCCATCATAATATTCATATTCACATTTGGCTCACTAAAAATAAAAAAAAAATATTACAAATAGAAATGTCATCTACCATTGTAAGAGACCATTCCATTTCATTATAATGAACCAAATATTATATTGTATTAGTAATTTAAATAAAAGTGAAGGTTCACTTAAGTTATTTTAAAAATAATTAAAGTAGTGAATTATTTAATAGTAATGGATGATTATTTACATGTATAGATTGTTTATAGAATATTGTTAATTGTACTAGTTCTAAGAAATAATTCTTTTAAGCAGAAGTCACTGCTGGAAGAACGACTTTTAGCGGCGTTTTCCTCTAATTCCTTTAGTGACGCTTATCACCAAACACCGCGGATGTGGCCGTCGCTATAAGTTTATGACGCTTTAAAAACGTCATAAAATTAGTATAGGTGGCGTTTATAAAAACGGCACTAAATATGGTAGCCAACGGTAACATGACGTCACACAGGCATTCAGCGACCCTTCAAAAACGTCATAATAGCTTTTTTGTTATTTTAAATATATAACTATAGTGGCGTTTTGAAAAACGCCGCAATAGATTTTTTTCTTTTTTTTTTTAAACTACTAATTTTGTAAGATTTAACTTTAAAAATATACCTGTAAAATAGCAATAATGAATAAAACTTTGTACATATATATATTTCTGTGAGATTACTATTCCCTCACATCTATAATAGTACCCAATACAACATCCTTCAAGAAAAAAATCCAATAAGTTTAATCCCAACATCACTCTACCTGTGTATGTTTTATCTTGGGCAAAAACATTAAATAGAGAGAGTATAATAGCTACAGAAAAACTCATCATCAACAATCCAGTAGAAATTAAAAGAAACAAATGCCAAAAGAATGAAATTACATCCTGCCAAATGCATTTAAATTGTTTATTGATAGAACATTTCTAGAACACATCAGAGGATTTACAAAGAACCCACAAATCTCTGTTGTGTTTTATACAAGTGCATGAATCAATCACAAAAAGAAAAATAAAATAAATCTATGATTTCTCAATTCAATGTCTTCAATTTGGAATGTTCACCAAAAAAGTTCACTAATTAAGAATGCGAAAAATCAAGATAAAATTCGAAAAATAGATGTGCATAGAAACTGGTCACAGAACTCATAAGATGCTCCTTGTGAGTGAACTGTTCTATAAATGGTTTCTACACACCTAGTTTCCTGACTAGTGTGGTGCTCACCTTCTCAATAAGAGAAAGATAGTATGGCTTGACCTTCTCGACATCAATGCGCACTTTGCTCTTACTATAGGTCATATTTGCTGCATAAATTCGAGAAAGTTTATGCAAAACAGTAAACTTTGTCAGTTATATTAGCATAACACATGAAATTAAAAACAAAATGCTAACGAATAGTATAGAACATGCAAGGTGTAATGTCATTATTACACTTTTTAATGACACACTTGCCTTATCGAAGTTGGAGAAATGTATGTTTGAATGAGGAGTGCATAGAAGATTGGGAATCTATGAATAGAATTTGCCAGAATCAAGAAAACTACAGACCACAAATTCCACCATGTGCAAACGAAAAAGAAAGAAACTCACATTCATAATTTTGTTTACACAACCACAAAATAAATTAATATGAATTTCATATACAAAACCACTTGGCTCTCATTAAACATCATTTCATACCTCTAAGCCGCTCTGTGAGGATCCATGACAAACAAGAATTATCCGATTACTGGTTTTTCTGCCTTCAAAACTTCCAGCTGCAATAGGTGAATTTGGGGTCTGCATCAATTACAACAAAAATTATGTTCTGCGCTCCAAGGCAACCTACACTACAGGGCAACTAAAGCCTATGCTAAGTGCTCACAGTAAATGGGTTCTTTACCCTAAAAATTTAGGCATTCAACATATACTAGACCACAACTCTGATGAACAAAATGCTTAATGATCAATACCAACCATTTTGTAGGTCAGAAAAAAAGATTCAATGTCATAATGTCATTACAGAAAAAAATTATGTTCTTTACCCTAAAAAACCGGATTGCATCATATATGCCCCTGCTCTGTAGCTCTTTACTTACATCACAACTTGTGGGATCAATGGAATACATTTTTAATACATTTCAAGGCCCAGCTATAGTTATAGACCATTTCAACAATGTGACCGCTTAGTGCAAGAAGCAAGGAAAGTCTTTTGCAGAATCTTCACGGGGGGTTTTGGAGTTGTGCTGTAGAGGGTATTGATCTCATTAACATAGGTTTCCCTGATAATCCTTTTACATGGTCAAACAACACAATTGGTCTTGCAAACATTAAAGAGATATTATACAGGGGCTTAACTAATCCTGAATAGAGGGCAATGTTCCCCAAGGCCACATTTGATTGCTGGATTATTTTTTGTGGTGTTAGACACGATGGGATTGTTAATAAGATTGTGAGGGATAAGTTATATCATGGGATTAAATGGGATAAAGGATTGGATTATATGATATATGATATATATTTGCATTTATGATTTTGCTAATACAAAAAAGGAAGAATAAATAAATAAATAAATAAATAAGAGAAGACTATTATATATTATGAGATTAATTTACATAGGTTTAAAATAATTGAACATGTTTAAAAAAAATTCAAAAATAAAATAAATAAATTTTATATATATACTTGAAGGTTATTAACTAGTTAATCCGGAGGTGAAATGCATTGACAATGGACAAGATTTTAAATGCTCAATTAAATGATGCTACTGTCACAAGGGGAGAAATTATGCTGAAGTCAGGCACAACTGAAAGTACAATAGGCATCCAAGAAGTAACTAGTTAGTCTGTATCAATTCATCCTAATTGAGTTCACTAATTATACACAGCAGACAAACCCAAATGATCTTACTTTTCTTGTAGTGACTCCTTGTAACTTGACATTGTTGCAGCTATTGATCACAATGTGAAACATCTGACTATTTAGCAATGTTAACCTGCTGACCACGACGTTGTTTTAATTGCTGAATTCTAGGGTCTGCAGTTTAATGTTCCAATTAATTACTTCAATCAATCATCTAAGACTAAAAAAAAAAACAACTAAATTAGGGAATATATTGTTACTGGTCCCAGCAAAATATAACTATTGATATTGGAGAAGCACTACAATCAAGCTTGTCTTATTTTATTTTATTATTGTTTAGAAAGAAGAAGAAGAAAAAAAGATTCGTTTTACAAGACAAAATCACTAATGAAAATAATACTAGCTTGCAATAACCAATATTAGGAATATATAATATATGTTGCAAGTAAAAAAGAGAGTCCCTTATGTGTATTTAAAAAGTAATCAAATTCAAATTTCAGATTAACATAATACAAATGAAGTAGTACAAACCAATTAGGGATACTAGAGCCGAAATTCTGGTCCCCAGCAAGAATCAAGAATTCTAGAACATTGTGTTCCTCAAATAGCCACAAATATTGTCTCACAGCATCAACTATACCCTACTAACCAATAAAAATACAAATCAATACAGGGTGTCTAGCAAACGCTGAAGTGAAGGGAAAATAAGGCATTAAGCAAAACAAAATTGGTTTGTAAGTGATGCACTAATAGCAGCTATTTGCATCAAACCACAACTTATAATGCGGTACATTAGAAATCTGGGGCAGATTACTCTTTTCATGGTTTAGAGTTCAGATTTTATACTACCTGGAACCAATTGGGGTTCTTTGGGCTTTGCTGAGCAGCAAGAACTTCAACAAAACCTTCATTCTTGTAACCACCCATGTTACTTGCGTATGCCCGTGAAAGGTGACGATTTAGAGATGCAGAATTGAATTGTGTAAGAACATAGATCTTTGATATGTTTCTGTTTAGGCAATTCCTGACCGGAATGTCAATCAGGCGATAATTTGCTCCTAAAGGAAATAGTATCCTGGATCTATAACTAGTGACAACACTGTCAAATCAGTTCCAATTTCATCAACAGTTTTAGATCAAATTTTCGTTTCAATTTTGCTCCAAACTCTTACACAGTTCTTTGTGCTTTGGTAATTAAATTATACATGTGTGTATGTATATGATACATGTATCGAAATATCACACAATAAAACATTTTTTAAACGAATACAGAAAAGAAGGAGAAGGAACTAACTCTGCTTGCATCAGGATTGAGACAAGTCTACGAATTCTGCGAATCATAGACGGCCTTGGGAGAGACAATGAATGGAGTCCTGTCGCCGGAAGAAGCCTCAGAACGCTGCTGTGGAGAGGCCGATTTTGGCGAGATCTTGTCACCGGAGAGATGAGACGAGCAAAAGAAAGCCTCCGAGATGGCGTCGCACGAAGGTTTTCTCTCTCGCAGGCAAGCCTAGCAGTGCTGTGAGGACGGTGGTGACGGTGGTGACGGTGGAGCTTCGAAATCGAAACCGCTCTAAATCTCAAAGATGAATCTGTGAGAATGATAAGAGTTTAGAGAGGGTTGAGAGAGAGGCAAGATTTGAAGGCGTGAGGATTCAAAATAAGGGTTTACAAAGGCTTTAACAATTGTTCTCAGATTCAAAATAGGCTTCGAAATTGAGAGAAAGAATCACCGAAACATAAATTTTGAAATCGAAATCAATAGAGAGAACTTCGAAATCAAAATCGAAATCGCCAAGATGAATCACCGAGATTGTATCATTTTGAGATGAATCAGCGAGAGATGAATCGATCCGTTGAGAGGGTTTACAGAGAGAGAGAGAGCGAATGAGAGACGGAGTGGGTGAGTAAGAGATTAGGGCTACAAAATGTATTATATATTTGATTTCCCTCAGTATTCACCAACTAGCCCATTTAAGAGGGAGAGAGAGAGACATTTGAAGGCACTTTCAAGCGTCTTCTGTTATTGAAACGTTGTCGTTTTAATTTTAAAAAAAGTGATGTTTAAAAAACACCATTAAATATTATAAATGGTGGCGTTTAATAAAACGTCGCTAAATAAACGTCGTTAAAACTGATATTTCCTGCAGTGAGTTGATCAAATTATACATTCAATCAGCTACATCATAAAAAAGTTAGAATAAATTAATAGTGCTACCCATTGAAAATGTCCAAAATCTATTTCAATAATTACGGTTTATATCTATCTCAATAACGATCATATGAATTTATTAATAAAATACAATATTATAATTATTTATAAAAATAAATTATAATCAAATTATTCACTAATGTAATATTTCAAATTCGATTTATGTCTTTCTCAATAAATATTGTCAATTATAAAAATCATATGAATTTGTTCAAAAAATACAATATCATAATTATATTAAAAAATAAATTATAATCAAATTATTCACTAATTCAATATTTCAAATTGGATTTATCACTTAATAGTTTAACTAATTTTTGTGCATAGAACAAGTAAAAAATTAGGGGTCGTTTGGTTTTTATGTTGGGCTAAAAAATCACAAAATGACAATAAAAAAGTCAAAAAATCACAAAAGGACAAAAATCACAAAAAGAGAAAAAAAAAATACACAATTCCAAAGCCAAAAAACCAAACAAGAATACCAAACGACTAAAAAAGTCTTAGATTAAAAAAGTTAAAATATTAACAAAAAAAGCCATTGTCAAACGAGTACTTAGGAGTATTTTGGAAAGTTGGTAAAAAGTTAATTTTTTGACTTTTTTAACTTATTTTGTTTTTTTGTGAGTAAGTTATGTGAAAGGTGATATGACAAAAAATTAGTAAAAAACTAGAAATTGGCTTTTTACCAACTTTTCAAAAGAGTACTTAGTAATTTTAATATTATTATAATCAACTTTTTTGGTGAAAATCTGCTTATAAGTAGCTTTTTTTGTGAGAGAGGAAGTGAGTTATAATTTGAGAAACAGATTATAACCCACTTTCCAAAATAAGCATATATATGTAAACAAATTTGTGTCGGTACAAACAAAAGAAAAATTTATTTAAACTAAACTAAACAACTTTTTCTTTTTTTAAATATCTATGAGGCTTTGATTTTTTAATTTTGTCTTGGGCCCCTACAAAGGCAGGACTAGCCCTAGGTGGTGTGATAGTGACAAACGCAATGATGATGGTATATTGTTGGTGGTAATTGTGATAATGGTGATGGAGTCAGAGGTCCCGTTGGGCAGAGCTGTGGAAAAGTGATTATAACTTATAGCCTAACAACTTATAGCCTAACAACTTATAGCTTATAGCTGTGAACATAAACTGATTTTTTACTTATAATATTAAAATAGTTTAAATTAAGCTAAAAGCTGAAATAAGTTGGAAATAAGGCCTACCAAACAGGGCCGGAGTGTTGTAATAATGGGAACATGGACCATGATAGTGGTGTGATGGTGGTCTAAATGGTGGTTTGGTGATGGTAGTAATAGTGGTGGTGGCGGTGGCGTAATAATGGTTGTAGTGGAATGATAGTAGTAGTTATGACATTTTTGTGGCAATGGTGGTAAATGTGGTGTGACGCCTCCAAAATTTTTGAATTATCATAAGAATTTAAATAACAAAATAACTTATTAATTAAATTTAAGATTCTCGTACAGTCAAAAGTTTAACAACATTAAATAAAGAAAATAAAAGTCTACATACAACACTAAACAACATCCTAATACATAAGATAATAATTTTTTTATAATACAAAAATTTTACTAAAGTCATGACTTCAAGTTAGCCACGGTTTTATATTAGCAGCAGTTTCAATTTCAGCTTCCATTCCTCCATCATCAAAATCTAACATAAAACATCAGGGCAACAAAATATATGCCATGGGTTTTGCAACACAGTAAGAAAACATAACCAATCTACCATTCTTTTTAAGAGAAAATAATCAGATTAATAATCGTAACAATTAAGAGAAAATGACGGAATTAATAGCATGATAATATAACAACCATTCAAATAACATCAACAATTTTTGATAGTTTAGATGACACTCAAAATCTCATCAAAGAGATTTTTCTTACCAATCACTAAGCCATAACAACGATTAATTTGAAACCCCCATTGGTCAAATATTCAAGTGTCACCAATTGTAACTATTAGGGATGTCTACGTTCGGAGTTATATACCCAAGTAGTGGCATCTGTGGTCTGCCCTAAGGAAACAGTCTGCCAAGGGTACGTAACCTCTCTGTGTGCCACTTGTACATCCATCATTATTCCAAAATCGAATATCGAAAAGGGTTCAAATAAGTCTCATGCCATCTTAGGGTTTCGTGACACAATTTACGTAAGAAATCTCAAAATCAAGGCTCACCTTGAACAACCGGTATTAACCATCAACCGTTAATTTCGTACACTTCGTTGGCCATGTTAATTAATTTTCATACTAATCACTAATAATTACAAATTAGATCACAATCGATAACATACCATTTCAATACAATTTTTAACCGAAAATATCAACACATACGTTCTACAACAATCCATCGATGTTTATAAATTATTGTGACAATTTAATCAAGTCATGGTGTGAAATAATAATTTTAAATACTAAAATAAATTACAACACACACATGCATGGACTACTAATTTACAAGATTCAATTTAATAGACTAGCATAATACATAATTTTAGTCCAAATAAATAATAAAAATCTTGGTTCCTTCTCAATCTGCCCAGAAATTTTCAGAATATACTTTTCGTAATTAAAATTATAAATAAATTATTTATACAATTCTAAAATTCGTGAAAATCTACAAAATATTCAATAAACATGTTATGGTCATTTTTCAGAAATAATTTCCTAAAAATAAGTTATAAATAATTTTGTAAAATTCTAAGAAATTTTATAACACAGTTTTATTACATTTTCTTAAATTAATTTCATACTTAAATTTATAAATCAATTCCATGATATAAAAATTTATTATGAAACTAGACTTCTCAAATTTCATTTTTTATTTAGAAATTATCAGATTTGGTTTAATATAGGAGTTTTAATGATTTTTCAAACATATAGCAAAATCTGTTTATAGTTCTAGATTTAGTTAAAATTTTGTATAAATTCGTACAAAACCCAAATAATTGTTACAAAATTTGTTGGATGAACTAGACATTATTCTCAACAACTTTGTAAAAGAAATCATTTCAAAAGTTTGAGTATAAAATTATCTAAAAATTCATACAACCTTCTGATAGATTTAAAGTTATATAATCAAACCAAATAAATTCTTCAATTATCTTTTTGATGACACAAATTACACATGCAATTCTATTTCCATAATAATACCATGATTTTAAGACTTCTAATATCTCCAACTATTTGATATACAAATCACAAATAAAATTCTATCTACAATCTTTTTGTTTTTTGTGCTACGAATATAATTTGAAATTTTAACAATTAAAAAGAATGAGAGGATTGAGAAGATTTTCTTACTTAGTAGTATGATTAAAATAGGTGATGAAATTATAACTTTCTTAATCTTTTGCTCTACTTCTTCTTCCTACTTTGCTTAGCTTGCTCACCGACGGGTGTGTTTGGTTTGTGTTTGTAGAGTAGTTTTTGAGGTAAAAAGTACGAAAACTTATTTGGTTTGTCTTTTTTCAGAAATAATTTTGAAAAATTGTTTTGGAGAGAAAGTTTTAAAAAAAGTAATTGATTTGATGTGTATGAAAGAGAGAGTGATTTTAGAAAGTAGGTAACCAAACAAAATTTTGAAAATTTTGTTTGGTTTGATTACTCTTAAAAATTTGTTTGTAGAGAATTTTTCTCAAAAGTTTTTCTGATAAACAAACCAAACAATTTTTCTTTTTTGTTCTCCGAATGCAAGCATGTATATATATATATATATACGTGAATTCAATCCTAAGACTCAGTTCATCATCCTGAGGTTGGCTCTCTCTCACTCTCTCATCATTCTATCACGTAAAATCAAATTTTCCCATACTTAAGAGTTATTGCATGTACATATATGTGGTGGTGTTTGGGAAGTCTTGTACTTGGATTTTTTTTTTTTTTTTTACAAAAAGACAAATTTTTTTGTAAAATAAAAAAAATACATTCAAATAAAATATCACATTTAATCTCATAATTATTTTATTTTTTCTCTCACAAACATTACATCCAATCACAAAAAAATCTAACCATCTTTCCCAACATAAATTTTTTTTCTAATAATATCCTACAATTAAAAAAATCTACATAAAAATTTACTTCTCCAACAACCACAATATATATATATATATATACACGTGAATTCTCAAACAACCACAATATATATATATATACACGTGAATTCAATCCAGAGATGAGTTCATCATGTACTCACTCACTCACTCTCTCTCTCTCTCACACACACACACACACACACACTCTCTCTCTCTCTCTCTCTCTCTCATCAAATTAAAATTTTCAATACCGAGAGTTATAATATGAACCTATATCCCATAATAACATGTATACAAATAAGTGTCAACATAGTTATTGAAAATTTGATTTTTTTTCCCTTTCTCATCATTCTATCATGTCTGAAAAATCTAGAAATCCCCTAGATGTTGATTTGTGATTATGTATCAATTTTAAGCAGAATATAACAATCCCAATCAAACAATTAAGACAAAAAGACACAACGATTTAACGTGGAAAAAACCACAATTGGACACCTCCAACTGTGATAAAAAAACCACGGGCAACAGCCACAAGAACAATCCACTAAGAAGATTTAAAGGAATTACACAGGTATACTCTCAATTACCTAGCGAATCCATAACGCCTAATTGAACCAACTTCTATGTGCCTCTTCCAACCCCATCTTCACCACGAAATTGTCTTTCTGATGAGCCACTCCGGATTCCACCAAAGCTTCAGGCTTGAACTCTTCAGAATCCACAACTGAAGAACAACTCTCTCTTTTGTGTATAACAAACAAACCTTTGATGTACTCTCTTTAAATCATGAGTTGAAAACTCAATAAAAACATCAAAGAAAACTAGCAAAATCTCTCCAGATATAAACCTTAAGATCCAAAAATAAGATCTGGAGAAGTCCCATCAATCACTTAGTTTTGGGAGAAAACCAAGTATTTATAGAGAACCAAAAGTAATCCTAGATTCAGAAGAAAACCAACTCTTTAATCAAATCTGGAAATCTGGGATCGCGCGGTTCGCTCGAGCTCAACACAGCCCGCTCGAGCGGACCGACCAAAAACTGCGTGCGAACAAACTGAGATGCGCTCGAGCGTAGGAGAATCCGCTCGAGCGTAAAATCACACCCACCAGTATTTTTTGCTTGCCCTGACAAAATACTGAGACCTGCTAATCTACGCTGGAGCTCACAAGGCTCCGCTCGAGCGGACAGAACAAAAACACAAAAAATTACAATTGAATCAACACAATGTTTTGTCTCCGGATTTGACAACATAGGTAATACCTTCTCTGAAAAGCACAATTCGGGTTGGATTCGCATCTAAACACTCATAGCCTCACTGAAATAAAAGTGCGAAAAAAAATACAACTGAAAGGAGTTTTGTCAAACGGGGTTGCCAAGAAATAAAACCTAACAATGTCAAATCGAATTTTTCAACACCAAGAGTTCTAATACGAACTTACATCCTATAATAAGACGCATGCAAACAAGTGCCATCGCTGTCTTCGAAAATCTAATTTTTTTTTGTGTGGTATTTTTGTGAGTTTTTTAAAATTAATTAATTAAATTTTTTAACTAAAGTATTTAATAAAGATAATTATTATATTGAATATTTATTAAAATAAATCATAAATAATAAATATTCAATACTCACAAAATTATTATTTCTTAATAATATTTTTGTTATGGATTAACTTATACACTAATATTAGATAGATTTTGAGTATAATTAATTAATTAATTAATGTTGTTGGTGGCGCCTTTCCATGAATGTTGATGATCCTAAAAAAAATAAAATAAAATAAAAAATATTATTAATATTGTTTAATTTCATTAAAAAAAATTAAGAAATCCTATCAAATAAGGATCCACACCCATTAAAGAATTTCAGTTTGAGAAGCTTAAATTACTCTATTTAATTAATCATTTTAAAAATAATCTTGAGTTTTATATTTTTCATATATATATATATATATATTTTCTTTATTGAACTTTTTAAATATTTGAACTAAATTATTTTTACGTTCTAAATTTACTTAATTTAGATATATTTAAAAAATAAAATATTTGTGAGAAGTATTTTAAAAATTCACTAAATTTAAAAAAATATAAAAATTTGGTGCAATTTCTATTTTTTTATTTTTTTTCACAAATAATTTGAAGTATATTTAGGTTAGATGCATCTAAATTTTTTTTTTGACTAAAATATAAAAAAAAATAAAATCTAAAGACAATAAAAAATAAAGAATAAAAAGTTTAAACTTGTGAAGTGAACTCATCTATAAACATACTTGGAGTCACCACTGAATGTCATGTTAATAGTGGTGAAGAGGCGGTGATGGTGGTGGTAAAAACTATGGTAGCAGTATGGTGGTGGCAATGCTGGTAGCATTTGAAGTGATTGGCAGTGGTGGGACTGGGGATGTAGTAGTGGTGGTGATGGTATGATAGTGTACATCGATATTTATACATCAACAGTTATAAATTTAGCTAGTTTTAAGTAGGAATCTTGCTAGTTAATAAAATAGATGATATATATATATATATATATAAAATCCTCAAGTTTGAATTTGTGTGGTGCATCTGTAATAAATATATATATATATAGTCAAAATCTTAAAATTTATATACAATAATGATTGCAGGAGAAGACTTATTTAATTTTTTTTTTATTGAAGATGTTTTACGTGCAGAATGAAAAAAGAAAAATTGTAAGTTAATTTGAATTTGCTTGCAAAAAGAAAAAGAAAAGTTACTGTTAGACCATTTTAATATCTTTTATTTATTTATTTATATATCTTGGTCATAAATGGACATAAATGGAGTTTCATTACCTTGGTAACCTCTCAACTTGGTTAATGGTCATTATTTTAGTGTAACCATATTCTCTTATCTAATGGTCATTATTTTTGGTGTAACTGTAAGGTCCTAATGGCCTATAAATAGTCCCTATCATCTACTATTTTCTACACCAACCCACACTAACTATTTTCTATACAAGAGAGATTACTACCAAAGAAGGGTGTTTTTCTTGGTGGAGCTTTGGGTTCACCATCTTGTGTAGAGTTGGCCTGAACTATACAACAAGTGGTCAGGCTGTTGTATCTTGGAGAGGACAAGTCATAGTTTTGTGACTGCTGCATCGGTATTGGGGTTCTTCCTATCGCAGTGGGCTTGATCTCCTTAAAGA